GAGTCTCGCTTTGCGTAGAAAGTCGTAGAAAATCCATGTGGAACTTTGTTTCGCGTTGTAAAGTGTATGCGTGGATGCAGTTGGTGCCGCCCCTCCTACGGGGGCTTTTACAAGTTTTTTGATAGTAACGACTAAAATATTGGAGTTAGGTAAAATATGTGTAGGACCTTATTTGTAGAGCTTTTTATGAGCTTTATTTTTTTGTTTGACGACTTTTTCCGTACAATAAATACTTTCTGAAATAATTAACAAAAACAGTTTTACCTTTAAAGGGGGCTGGGGGGCGGAGGGAGCATTTGCGCTAAAAATCTATTTGGGAATATTATTTACTAGATAAAATAAGTATTTAGGCTGAATATCAGTCAAATCGGAGATGATAGCTTTTCGGAAGTCCACCCATAATTTCATAAGGATATATACTTAAAAAATAATAGATAATTATTGGAATATCACAAATTGATAAAGAATCATAAGTGTCTTATCAAGAGACACGGTAGTGTCTCGCGCCAAGTTCACGCGCAGCGCGAGACCGAACGTGTATCTTTACGCGAGCCCAAAAAGCCCAGAAAGCCGAGATTATCGGAACTCAATAATGTCTGGGCCGATCGAGTTGATAATAGCCTCAATCGATAGCGCATACCCAAAATATATAATAAAAGTATGCTTGTTTTTGCTCTACGTGCTCTATAAATAAACACATAAAAGTTTAAAGTTAGAAATATCAAAAAATTATTAATTTTCTAGGATGTACAGTTATCATTTTTTATCACTAGATGGCTGTTGACATGTTAGTAGTTAGGTTTATGTTGGTGGCGCTATCACAGATAGCCGCGCTTACCAAATAACCTTTCAGAAGATGTGTCAAAAGAATAATAGCAAATTCGGCCACTCGCACTACCTTGCACTGGTGCACACTCAAGGCTGCTTAGTGTTTACCAGTTTTTTATTAGTGTACAACAGAGCAGTGTAGTGCAGTGTAGTGCAAGTGATCAAATTCGTTATAAGTGTATATGTATGTATGTATATAGGTTATAAGTGCTGTGTTTTAATTTTACCATACATTCTGTCAAAAAGCTTTAGTGTATGATTTGTCTAAAATAAATAAAATTAAATATCTCAAAGTTTAATATTTCGGTTCTACGTATCCTAAATTAGTTCCAACAATATTTATAATTTTCAGTCAATTTTATATATTAAAAAATATAGCATAAGTCACTTTTTATAGTTATCCTAAATTAGTTCCAATATTTATAATTTCAATTTTATATCCATAGAAAATAAGAAACAAAAATTATAAACATAAACTCGACAAAAAATCTTGTATACACAAAATACACAAAATAATATTGACACAAAGTAATACACAAAATAAAATTGATTGGAAATTACAAATATTGTTGGAACTAATTTAGGATACATAGAACAGAAATATTAAACTTTTATATTTAATTTTATTTATTTTAGACAAATCATACTAAAGTCTTGAAACGTGTGCTTTTTTGACAGATCCTAAATTAGTTTTAATATTTATAATTTTTACAATCAAAACAAAACAGTATTGTTTTAACTTTTTAAAAAAAAGCTGTCATATATATATTAACAAAAAAAATAATATTATAAAAAG